ATCAGTATAATTGTATTTAATCCATTTTTTTTTAAAAAATAAATGATTTTGTGATTTAATTGTGTAAAAGAAAAAATTATTTCTATATTTGGATTTGAGTTTATTTGTTTATTTCGTCATTTTATCACGAACTTTTCTAATCGCATTCAATACACATGGCTGGTGATAAGTCAAAATGTGGGAAAAGAAAACCTCTTCGAATTTGGGAAGCTTAAAATCTGAATAAATTAATTATAAGGATTAGAATTTATTATTTTTAAAACATTGTTATATAATTATTGACAGGAAACATTTATGATAGATATATATTAATACCTCTAAAGAACCATCCTATTTAAATAACGTATACTAATAAGTTGTTTCTTTCACATTTTCAACTTTACCGCTCACATTTTCTTCACCCATAACTTGTGGTGTTTCATTCAATTTAACTTTCTCATCTATTTTCATAGAATTTTCTTTGCCTTCATTTAAGTTCTGAGTTTCAAAACCTTTACATAAATCATTGAATTCATCATCATTCAAGTTCATAGGTGAAAAGTAAATAATTATTTTGTTTTTATTATCAGACTTTAAAAGAGAATTTTTGAGTTGCATCTTTAATAAGAGAAAAAAGTTGTCTGAATAACCTACCAAAAACATTAATTAAACTAAAGTAAATTTACTACAAAAAATAAATTTATGTAAACTGTAAAAAAAAATAAATAAAAAAAGACTATTTCACATTAATTCGTTCGGGCTGTGAACACGCTTCAATGTTTTTTGTTCTTTTATCTACTTTCATCAATGCAATATCTCCATTATCAAAGATAAGAGTATCACATGGAATGCTAAATAGAGGAAAATATAATATGTATCGCAGCACAATAATTTATAATCTGACATAAGAAAACTAGTGCCAGATTTTCTATCTGTTATATTTTTTTTATCGATCAATCGATTAATTTAATTTCCGATATTTATTTATCCGGATTTTTATTTATAGATAAATTGGGCTATTTTTATTTTATTTTTCGATTTATAAACTTTAAATACTAATGTTCTAATTTTTTTTTTAGGTTAATCTCTGAAGCTTCTTGGAATGACTAATGAAAGGTAAGGTGTTTAATTAAAATGTGAAGATTGTATTATTAAAATATAATAGTACTAATATTTATTCCTTTTTTTGTAGGTTAGATTCTGGAGTTTCTTGAATAGTCTTTTGATAGGTGATTTAAGATGGAATAAGAAGATATTTCCTTTTGTTATAGGAATGATACTAACATTTTCCTTCCTTTTTTTATAGGTTCGATCTGGAACTTCCTAGAATAGTCCTTTGATTCCTTTTTTTGTAGGTTAGATTCTGAAGTTTCTTGAATAGTCTTTTGATAGGTGATTTAAGATGGAATAAGGTGATATTTCCTTTTGTTATAGAAATGATATTAATATTTTCCTTTCTTTTTTTATAGGTTCGATCTGGAACTTCCTAGAATGATCCTTTGATAGGTAATTAAAAATGGAAAATAAGGATATTTTCTTTTGTTATAGGAATAATATTAAAATTTCATTCCTTTTTTTTTATAGGCTATATCTGGAGCTTTTGGGAACGATCCTTTGATAAATGATTAAAGATAGAATAAGGAATATTTTTTTTTATATAAATGATACTAATATTTTATTCCTTTTTTGATAGGTTAGATCCTGGAGCTTCCCAGAATGTTTATAATTAAATTTTATCAATAATTATTGTAGTATAAAAATATATAATTCGATTTACAATTCATGTAATATATATTTGATTTTATTTCAACAAAAAAAAATAATGTTCGTATTGTTTATTTTTAATACACATATATACATACTTATATACACATAAATTTATATACTTAATTCAGTATATTATTACTAGAATAATTAAAATAAATTAATTAAAAATTTAATAGATTATTCCTTTTACAATAATAAATAATACTACGAATATATATAAATATACACTAACCTTGTTATTTATACAAATTCTTTAATTAATTCTTCCATATCATAATCATCATCGTCATCTTTATCATCATCAGTTTCATTATATTTTTCGAATCTAGACATATCTACATGATCGATAATAATAATTGGTTCCAAATTAAATTGTTTTACTATTTCTAATTCTTCTTCTATA